CTAGAAGAAATGGATAAATTCTTAGGACTCATACAACCTCCCAAAACTGAATCAAGAAGAAATAGAGAATCTGAATAGACCAATCACAAGTAAAGAGACTGAAACATTCATCAAAAACCTCCCCCAACATAAAAGTTCAGGACCAGATGGCTTCTCTGGAGAATTCTACCAAACAGTCAAAGAAGATTTAATACCTATCATCTCAAACTATTCCAAAAAATTGAAGAAGATGGAGCACCTCCTAACTTATTCTACAAGGCTAACATGACCCTGATCCCAAAGCAGACAAGGACAACACAAAGAAGGAAAATTACAGGCCAATATCGCTGATGAACATAGATGCAAAACTCCTCAACAAAATATTGTCAAACCAAATACAGCAATACATTAAAAGGATCATACACCACGATCAAGTGGGATTTATACTAGGGATGCAGGGATAATTCGACATCCACAAATCAATCGACGTGATACACCACATTAACAAAATGGGGAATAAAAACCACATTATCATCTCAATAGATGCCAAGAAAGCATGTGACAAGATTCAACATCCATTTATGATAAAAAACTCTCAATAAGATTGATATAGAAGGAAAGTGCCTCAACATAATAAAGGCCATATATGACAAACCCACAGCCAACATCATACTTAACAGGGAAAAATTGAAAGCCATCCCTCTGAGAACAGGAACCAGACAAGGGTGTCCACTCCCACCACTCTTATTCAACACAGTACTGGAGGTTTTGGCCAGAGAAATTAGGCAAGAAAAAGAAGTAAAAGGGATCCCAATTGGAAAGGAAGAAGTGAAACTCTCACTATTTGCAGATGGCATGATTCTGTATATAGAAAACCCTGAAGAATCCACCAGAAAACTATCAGAAATAATCAATAAGTACAGCAAAGTTGCAGGGTACAAAGTCAACTTACAAAAATCAGTTGCATTTCTATACTCTAATAAGGAACTAACAGAAAGAGAACTCAAGAATACAATTCCATTCACAATCACAACAAAAAGAATAAAATATCTAGGCATAAATTTAATCAAGGAGGTGAAAGACCTATGCAATGAAAATTATACGACGTTATTGAAAGAAATTGATGATGACATAAAGAAATGGAATGATATTCCATGCACATGGATTGGAAGAACAAACATGGTTAAAATGTCCATACTACCTAAAGCAATCTACAGATTCAACACAATCCCAATCAGAATCCCAATGATATTCTTCACAGAAATAGAGCAAAGAATCCTAAACTTCATGTGGGGCAACAAAAGATCCCAAATAGCTAAAGCAATCTTGAGAAAAAAGAACAAAGCTGGAGGCATCACAATCCCTGACTTTAAAATATACTACAGGGGCTGGCCCCATGGCCGAGTGGTTAAGTTCGCAAGCTCCTCTGCAGCGGCCCAGTGTTTTGTTGGTTCAAATCCTGGGCGCAGACATGGCACTGCTCGTCGGACCAAGCTGGGGCGGCGTCCCACATGCCACAACTAGAAGGACCCAAAACGAAGAATATACAACTATGTACCGGGGGGCTTTGGGGAGAAAAAGGAAAAAATAAAAAAAAAATCTTTAAAAATAATATACTACAATGTTACAGTAATCAAAATAGCATGGTACTAGTACCAAAACAGACACACAGATCAATGGAACTGCATTGAAAGCCCAGAAATAAAACCACACGTCTGTGGACAGTTAATCTTTGTCAAAGCCAAGAACATACAATGGAGAAAGGAAAGTCTCTTCAAAAAACGGTGTTGGGAAAACTGGGCAGCCACATGCAAAAGAAAGTAGACCATTATCTTTCACCATATACAAAAATTAACTCAAAATGGATTAGACTTGAAGGTAAGACGTGAAACCATAAATCTCCTAGGAGAAAATATGGTCGGTACCCTGTTTGACACCAGTCTTAGAAGCATCTTTTTGAATACCACATCTACTCGGGCAAGGGAAGCAAGCAAACAAACAAAGCAAATGGGACTTTGTCACACTAAAGAGTTTCTGCGAGGCAAAGGAAAACGGGAACTAAACGAAAAGACAACCCACCAACTGGGAGAAAATATTTGGAATCATATATCCGACAAGGGGTTAATCTCCAAAATATATAAAGAACTCATACAACTCAACAACAAAAAATGAACAACCCGATCAAAAAATGGGCAGAGGATATGAGCAGACATTTTTCCAGAGAAGATATACAGGTAGGCCAACAGGCACATGAAAAGATGTTCAACATCATGAATCATTAGGGAAATGCAAATCAAAACTACAATGAGAGATCACCTCACATATGTTAGAATGGCTATAATCACCAAGACAAAAAATAACAAACGGTGGAGAGCAGGTGGAGAAAAGGGAACCCTCATACACTGCTACTGGGAACGCAAACTCGTGCAGCCACTATGGGAAACAGTATAGAGATTTCTCAAAACATTAAAAATAGAAATACCATATGACTCAGATATCCTACCCTTGGGTATTTATCTAAAGAACTTGAAATCAACAATTCAAAGAGATTTATGCATCTCTATGTTCATTGCATAAGTGTTCACAATAGCCAAGATGTGGAAGCAACACAAGTGGCCAAAAACTGATGAATGGATAAAGAAGATGTGGTGTATATATATATACATAATGGAATACTACTCAGCCATAAAAAGGGCAAAATTGTCCCATTTGCAACAACATGGATAGACTTTGAATTATGTTAAGTGAAATAAGCCAGACAGAGAAAGAAAAACACCACATGACTTCACTCAGATGTGGAAGATAAACGAACAACACATGGACAAAGAGAACAGATTAGTGGTTCCCAGAGGGGAAGGGGGTTGGAGGAAGGGCATAAGGGGTAAAGGGGCACATATATATGGTGACTGACAAATAATAATGTATAACTGAAATTTCACAATGTTATAAACTGTTATGACCTCAACTAAAAAAAAGACAGGCACCCCAAGACAAACATGGACAAAAGACTTAAGTAAACAATTCAGAAAAGGGGATGTCAAAGTACCCAATACTCATAAAAAGATACTAAACTCCATCACTCATAAAAGGAATTCAAATTAAATTGTTATGAGATACCAGCACAGTCCAATCAGAAAGGCTAAAATTTAAAAGATTGAAAAAACAAAGGTTGGTAAAGATGCCAACACTTGCATATCACCAGTGGGAGTATAAATTGGTATAACCACTTCAGAATACTGTTTGAAAGTATCTACTAAAGTTGAACATATACCCTATAACCCTTTGGTTCCACCCATAGAAATATTCCTCATAAATGTATCATACATACATTAATGTTTCAGATTGTTCATATCGGCACTAATTGTGATAGCCAAGAACTGAAAATTACCCAATACACATCAACAATAGAATGAATAAATAGATTGAGGTATGTTTATACACTGCAATAATGGAGGTGAATCAAAGTCATCCACTCCTAACAATATGGAGGAATGTCATGGACACAATGTTGAGGGAATGAAGCCAGACTAAATAGTACATAATTTATGACTCCATTTATATGAAGTACAAAACAGGCTAAATGAATCTATGCCATTATACGTGGCTACGATAGGGAAAGGGAGTTTACTAGAAGGAGCCAAGAGGGGTGTTTCTAGGGTGTTGGGTTTGTCCTGGTCCTCCAAGAAGTGGACACTAAGATGCTAGACTTTAATGCACAAATATTTTATTAGGGGTAACATTTGAGAGAAAATGGCAGGGAGCTCTGGGGGGCTGGCAGAGCCATCGGATCATAGCACAAGTCCGACTGTGAGTACAGGAGATTTGGAACGAAGATTAGGTGAATCACCCTAGACTGCTTGTAATCTAAGTAAAGTTCTCCAGAGCTGTCAGGGAGTCCTTTAAAAAATGTCATTGGACAGAGGCATCCTGGCCTCCAAGGACAGGCCTGCCTTGGGATCCCTGTTGTGTTGACTAGGAGCAATCGTGGCGAGATTGGCCTCCGTGCGAACACGGTGATGGATTGTAGAGCCCAGCAGCTGGGGCCTTTGGTCAGTTATGCTCCCTGCAGTCAGATAATTGTGGAGCAGGCAATTGCCTCTCAAGTTGGGTTTATCTGATGTTTCCTCATGACTAGATTTGGCTGTGTATTTCTGTAATGATACTTAAGCGACATTATGTCCTTCTCAGGACATCATATCAGGAGGCCTAAAATTTTGGTGTGTTCTCCTATCAATCATGTGAACCTCTTGGCTTAAGTGCTGGTCCCCAGATTTCTCCATGACACACCTACTATATTTCCTTTTGTCATTAATAATACTTTGTGAAGAGATATTTTGGGCTATGTAGCATCCATCCTTTTCCTCATTAACTTTCAACCAATATTTTTATAACTCATTTATATCCTTGCCAGAATCAACTATTACTAAGATGGTTATAAATAGCGATTTTAAAATTACATCATTACTTCTATATTTATGGCTTGGCATTCTACTATAAGGGAGAGTCCCTTCCTTCCTCCCGCACTGCTTTGCACCCTCCCTCCTTCCTTCCTTCTCTCCTTCCCTCCCTCTCTCCCTTTCTCTTTTCTTTTCTATTCATATACCATTATGATAATTATTTACCTTTATGGCCAAATTGCTCAGATTTTCTGAGCGTGAGTCTCTTCAAGCTGGGTCTTTTTACATGTCCCACCACTCTTTCCTACTTTCTGGCACAGCAAATTTTTTTCTCGGATCAGTTTTTACTTTCCCTGCTCTAGCTCTGGAACCAGCCATTTCTTTAAGGAGCCATGATAACTTTGATTGTAGAATGGAATTTACAAACCAATATCTGGGTGCTAGGTGTGCTTACTGATACTGGGGATCATTGGTTCTAGGCCCATTAAGAGGGCAGAGCTAGCAAGTAGATGATGAGGATATACACACTTATATACACCACATATGTGTGTCTGTGTGCACGTGTGTGTGTATCCATACACTTCTATATCTACTTCTGTAAATACCTGTCTATATGTATTTTTAAAATCCAGGAGTTAAGAGAGGTACCATGTTAATGAAGCTGGTTTTCCTAGGGTGAGTCCCACCCTTGCCCCTCCTGATATGCTGACCGGTGCAATTTCCGCAAATCTGAGAAACTTGACTGCACAATTTGTGGTAATGGGGGACTGCATTCACACTATCCCCTGATAAAAAAAAAAGAAAGAAAAATCATGGGGTCATCATGACATCTCCAATTCACATCCACTTCCACAGGGTTTATTCCATCCTTCCTCATTTACATATTGGTAGTTATTGCCTAGCAATGATAAATTTACTTATTCGCTCCATCTTAGAATACACAGAAGGTAGATTCGGAATTTATTTTTTTTTAAGATTTTATTTTTTTCCTTTTTCTCCCCAAAGCCCCCCAGTACATAGTTGTATATTCTTCGTTGTGGGTCCTTCTAGTTGTGGCATGTGGGATGCTGCCTCAGCGTGGTTTGATGAGCAGTGCCATGTCTGTGCCCAGGATTCGAACCAACGAAACACTGGGCCACCTGCAGCAGAGCGCACGAACTTAACTACTCGGCCATGGGGCCAGCCCCTCAGAATTTCTAACTTATACCTCCGGGAAAAAGGAAATCTACTCACTAATAGTTCATATTTATTTAGAGTTCTTTCTGTCTTTAACCTGAGAACATATAGTCCAAATGCCGTGATCCAAAGTTTGTTAAGTAGTTCTTTTTGTTTCTCTGTCTTGTGTAATTATGCTATTCACTTGTTTGGCTTATTTGTTTCTGTTTTCAAGTTTTTTTCTTATGTTTTTTATTTACTCCCTTTTTGAGTTTGTGAAACATGAACATGATTCTAAAAGAACCATATAAAGGCATGATCAGAGAAATATATCGGGCGCCATTTTAATCCCTGCAGATGGAGGAGGCAGTGCAGTCTGGCGATGGATCTTGTAGGATCTGACGTCCGTTGGGCACACCTGAGTTTAAGTCAAGCTCCGCCATTTGTTAGCTTTCTGATCTCAGGCAACTTACTTCATCTCTTGAAGCCTCCATTTAAAAAAATCAAAATAGGGAGAAAAGTAGCATGACTTTAGAGGGATGGAGATTAATTGCATGTTGGACACACAGCCCAATGCCTCTACATAATTATTACTTGATAAAATGTTCATAATATTAGTATCTAAAACATATTTTTAATCAAACTACAATAGGGAAGATGAAGGCTCAAGATGGAGCACACTACAAATGTACGAAGCAGAAACGTTAATAAAAACACTTTGATTTAAAGTGTGTTACCAAATTCACAGGCCCAAAGGTGGGGTGAGTAGATTGACTCTTTACCTTGTGTCCTATGTGAGTGTAAATCACCCACCATAAATGAGTCAGCACCATTCCGGCAGCCCAATATAATGTGATCCTGCCACAGAAATATTGTGCCAGCACCAGGACATATCTGCTCACCAGGCTTCCCTCTTGGAGCTGACACTGGCCACAGGGCCTTGGGAAAACATGGGCATCATCCTGGGGTTTCTTGGGGCATTGGGTCAACCGAACACATTGGGTAGAAGTCAAAGACATCCCTAGATAAACAGGAATGGGGCACACAAGGGTCCAGGCACACTTGGGTGGGGCACACACCTGGACAGCATTGCTGATTGCAACCAGCCACAGGTACTGCAGGGGGATTTCAAAAACTTTGAGGAAGAAACTGCAAATTGTGGGGACCCTTGAGGCACAGGACCTGGAGCAGGGGCCCTACTTGCCTCGACCTAAGGGTAGTACTCCTCTCTCCTCCTCCCATTGCCAACTTCACCCCATCATCTTGCAAAGTGCCTGCAATGACCACCTTTGTTCATTTGTTATTGAGCCCTAGTCTTAGTGTTTCCATTCCCCAGATGGAGACTGCTAATATCAGGGCGTGAACACCTCAGTGAGACTGACACCACCAAAACTGCACTCCAAAAGCAGTGGGCATATGTCACAGCAATTCTACTGTTAAGAATATTCCCAAGAGAACTGGAAACATACGTCCACACAAAAACTTATACAAAAGAGTTCACAGCAGCACTATTCACAACAGACAAAAGTGGAAACAACCTGATGTTGATCAACTGATAAATAAACACAATGTGGTATATCCATACACTGCCATATTTTTCAGTAATATGAAGGAATGAAGTCCTGATTCATGCTACAACACAGATGAACCCTGAAGACACCACGCCAAGTGAAAGAAGCCAGACACGAGATTACATGTGGGACGATTCCATTTATATGAGATGTGCAGAATACAATCCATAGGCAAATCCATAGGAGATAGAAAGTAGATTAATGGTTCCCAGGGGTTGGGGGTGGGAGGGTGGAATTGGGAATGAGGAGTGACTGCTAATGTGTAGGGGGATTCCTTTCAGGCAAATGAAAGAGCTCTAGGGCTAAATAGTGGTGATCATTGCACAACATTGTGAATCTTTTCAAACATGAAGAAATGGTAATACGTGATACTCCCCCTATAAGTGTTAAAATGTAGCTGTATTAGATTAGTCAAGGTTCTTCTGAGACACAAAATCAGCAGAACACACAAACACACACACAAAACCAGGAACTGGCTCACGCAATTACGGATGCTGAGATGTCCCATCATCTACTGTCTGCAAACTGGAGACCCAGGAAAGCTGGTGGCATAATTCAGACCAAGTCCCAAGTGAAAACTAGGGGAGCTGATGGTTTAAATTCCAGTATAAGGGCCAGAGAACAAGAGATGGCCCCACTGAAGCAGGCAGGCAGGAAAAGAAAAGGGGCAAATGCCTCTTTCCTCTGTCTTTTTGTTCTATTCAGGTCCTCAACGGATCGGATGATGCCCACCCACATTAGGGAGGGCAATCTACTCTAGAGTTCACTGATTCAAATGCTAACCTGATCTGGAAACACCCTCACAGGCACACCTAGAAATAAGGTTTAATATGGGCACCCCTTGGCAAGTCGACACATAAAATTAACCATCACCTCAGCCAAGCTTAGGGCTAACAAAGGGAAATGGCCAGGGGCCAGGATGAACAGGAAAGTCAAGTCCATGGTGAAAAGTGCAAGCTGAAACAGAATGGCCCCACAAAGGCTTGGGGAACTAGATAGAGAGCTGGGGAATTAATCTTGAGTATGGAGGAGACCCAAGGTTAGAGGCCCCATGCGCTTTGGGACAAGAACTACACACTACAAATAAGACAGCTCTTTTCTCTTGACTGTGAACAAAGAACAACAAACAAAAAACCACATAGCTCACAGGCGCCTTGGTTCTCCTGTGACCAACATGGAGCTCGGGTCCCCCAGGAGGGTGGATGTAAGCCACACCTGTCTTCTGATCAGGTTGTGAGGACAACAAATCATTTTGGTTTCACTTACTGAGTTTTCTGTTGCAAATTTCCTTGCTTTGAGGAAAGAGGACCTAATATGGTAAATTATGACAGCAAAATAAAAAGAAATAAAACAAAAATGGAGGTACTGGACTTCTGATGTCATGTGTAAAGGACTTTCACACAGACCTGAGACCACTCTCCTTAGAAAGGCCTGCTTGCAAGGCTGGCTCTTGATTGGCATCTGCGTACTTGGGTTGCAGGATTCCTAGCATTCCCTGGTAAGAGCAGCTCATGGTGCCTAAGCTATGTGTACAATGTGGCTTACGCTCAATACCTATTTTCCTTCTGAGAGTTTCTAATTTTAGTACACACTAGGCAGAGAGTGCCTACATGATGAGCCTCCAATAAAAACTTAGAGCACTGCGGCTGCAACAGGCCTTTCTGGTAGACTTTTCACATGTGTTATTACAGTTCAATGCCGAAGGAGTTTCATACATCGTGATTCCATAGGAGGAGGGCTCTTGGAAGCTTACACCTCATCTCCTCCAGACCTCATCCTAGGTTCATTTCCTCTTTGCTCATTTTACTTGCTATCCTTTCACTGTTAACAGATCAGTCATATGACTAGTGTCTTGTGAGTACTCCTAGCAAAGGACAGCATGTAGAGGTAGTTTCAGGGAACAATACACCACACAAATTGAGACAGCATGCACTTTAATAAGTACTTAGCACCCTGTGAAGATACGGCCCAGACAATCAGTTGTGGAACCCTGTCTTCCCAATTAGATATAATTTGCTGGGTAAAGTCCTTTAATGAACGACACCGAAAATATCACCATCATGTCTGATGTGGAATGGCATCCAAACCTGCTCTTTATCCTACTGGTTCCACATCCAGAGGGTGCACTGCTATTACGCTGTTCTTTCCTCATGCATGCCTTTTCAACCTTTTTTGATACCTCCACAACGTATGGAGACCCCTTTTGTTCCCAGCTCCAGGATTTGCCCTCCACGTGTTGTGGATTTATACTCAAAGCACAGCATGCATAAATTACAAAGATACAACCGTCCAAACTCATCGGTTTATGTGGGTATGCAAAACCACCAGAGAACTTTTTGTTTGTGAAATTGGCTTCCAGAGTTCATTCCTTCATCTGGAGCTTATATGTCATGTCACCATATAGAACACTCATTCATGAGGTCTTACCTGCAAGGGATAATTATTTAGTACTTTTTCAAATTCTATTGTAATAATTTACTGCTTTGGTAATATTCAATGTCCAATGACAAACTGAACATAACTTATGAAATTATAAAATGGAAAAATACCAAGAAATACTTCTTGCCAAGGAAAATCACTACGGAAGAGCATCCCTTTACATGTTATGAGTGTACACATACACACAAGTGCACACATACACACACACACACAAAGATTTGTTTGTTTGTTTTTTGAGGAAGACTAGCCCTGATAAACATCTGCTGCCAATCCTCTTTTTGCTGAGGAAGACTGGCCCTGAGCTAACATCCATGCCCATCTTCCTCTACTTTATATGTGGGACGCCTACCACAGAACTGCTTTTGCCAAGTGGTGCCATGTCCGCACCCGGGATCCAAACCAGCAAACCCTGGGCTACCGAGAAGCGGAACGTGTATACTTAACTGCTGCACCACTGGGCCGGCCCCAGAATTATGTTTGATTACACTATGGAGACTACTACCTATGATCTCTCAAAGTCTGTATTATGTATTTCTCCTGTCATCACAGATATCTGCCATAATTTTAACGGCTTCAGGTTAATATAGGAATATATCAAAACTCAAATTCCCACAGATATACACTTACGTCCACTTAAAAAGATTCAGTGACAACAGCAATGTGGTCCTCATCTTTTTGGTATTTTAATCTAATAATTGCAACTTGCAATTATACGATTTCCACATCAAAGACATGTACAACCCATATTCTGATATATACTCCTTCCCCAAATCCATGCTTTACTGCTCCCAATAGGGAAAAGCATATAAATGTCAGAGTTGCCTCAATAATACATTTGACAAAATTATCAAATTCCCACAAGTTTTTTGAGTATTTGTTTTATGAGCGTGGGGGAAGAATACGGCATAGCCCCTACTGGAGAAGTTTTGTTAAAAGAAATGCTAAAAGTAATTAGGAGGCAAACATTTCAAAAGTCAGGATGGAAATGCAGAGAATTAGAAATCAATAATAAATTCAAAGTCCACTAAGAAAATTTTTGGCATTGGTACCTACTAGTGACACTTTCAAAGTGTTACAGTAAACTCAGCCTTAACAGTGATAAACAAAAAGTCAAATGCGTAATGTGCAAGGCATCTGTTGTTGTAAAGTTAATAAATTCTTTTCAGTCTGTACTGTCATAAAAATCTTAAGATAGCTCAACTGATACTGTACACAACCCTAGGGAGACTGGACAGGGCCCCAAATAATAAGAACCCAACTTGAGAAGATAGGCTGTGGGGAGGACAGGAGCCAAGTGAAATAGGGTAATACCACATTAATATTGCACACCATAATATCGAGTGGTTTTCTGCATTTCAACAAATGTTCATTTCCCTGAATTAATTTTATTTTGCAAACTTCCTCCTCTGGATACAATTTACATATACTGTACCTTTGTCCTTTTGGTTTATTGAACAAACGAGCAGAGCACACCAACAAGTGCTGGTCAACGTTGAGGGTGTGTAGATTCAGCAGCAAAGTCCTGCCCTCATGGAGCTTACATTCTAGCAGACGTCAATTCTGGCACACTCATCATTACACACTTATTAAAGCCAGACCAAACTCTTTTCCTTCCTAAGTACTATCTCCTAAGTGACCTGTGACAAATGCCAAAGTTCCAAATGAAACCTTAATGGCACCACTTACTAGGGATTTCCCATGTGGTCTGGTGAAAACTGAGACATGCTCATTTACTGCTTAAACACCAACTACACCAGAACAAATCTTTTCTCCCCTATGAGACTTCATGATTGTAAGAATTCAGGCTGCACACTTTTTAAAACATATCATTTTGTAGAACTTCTTTCCTCTGACAATTCTTTAATGTTCTTACCACTCTTGTCACTTCCATAAAATGTATCCTCAGCATGAGTTTTGTGATGACTTACGAGATTTGATCTCCAACTGAAGCTCTTACCACACATTTCACACTTGTACGGTTTCTCCCCTGTGTGAACTCGCCTATGATACTGCAGTTGTGAAGACCGACTGAAGACTTTCCCACACACGTCACACTTGTACGGTTTCTCCCCAGTGTGGACACTCTGGTGCAGCTGAAGACTTGAGGCCTGGCTGAAGTGCTTCCCACACTCCCCACACTTATATGGCTTCTCCCCTGTGTGCACCCTCTGATGCATGTCAAGGTTCAAGATCCACTTGAAGCCCTTCCCACACTCCTCACATTTGTACGGCTTTTCTCCAGTGTGGACTTTCTGATGAGCTTGAAGGTGGGAACTCCGACTGAAGCTCTTCCCACACTCTTCACACTTGAATGGTTTCTCTCCACTGTGGACTCTCTGATGGGTCAGAAGATGTGAGGCCTGACTGAACACCTTCCCACACTCCTCACAATTATATGGTTTCTCTCCTGTGTGGATTCGGCAATGAATTTTAAGATCTGCTCTCCGGCTGAACCCTTTCCCACACTCTTCACATTTGTAGGGCTTCTCTCCAGTGTGGATCAGCTGGTGAATCTGAAGTCGGGAACTCTGATTGAAGCCCTGTCCACACTCCTCACACTTATAAGGTTTCTCTACACTGTGGGCCTTCAGATGGATTTTAAGATACGAACTCTGACGGAAGCCCTTCCCACATACCTCACATTTATAGGGCTTCTCTCCTGTGTGGACCACCAGATGAACTTGATAATGGATTTTCATCCTGAAGCTTTTCCCACACTCCTCACATTTGTACGGTTTCTCTCCTGTGTGGACTCCCTGATGGGCTTGAAAACTTGAACTGTAAATGAAGCCCTTATCACACACTTTACATACATATGGTTTCTCTCCGGTGTGGATTCTCCGATGGGCCTGAAATTGTGAAGGCTGAATAAAGCACTTACCACATTCCTCGCATTTATAAGGTTTTTCTCCTGTGTGGACCCTCTGATGGATATGAAGATTTGAGCTACAAGTGAAACACTTCCCACAGTCTTCACATTTGTACGGTTTTTCTCCTGTGTGGACCATGCAATGACTATTAAGTGCTGATCTGCGACGGAAATTCTTACCACATATATCGCATTTGAATGGTTTCTCCCCAGTGTGGATTCTCTGATGTTCCTGAAGATGTGAAGCGTGAATGAAGGCCTTCCCACACTCCTCACAACTATAAGGTTTCTCTCCTGAGTGTAATTTGCAATGAACAGTAAGTGTTGGTCTGCGACTGAAGCCTTTCCCACATTGCTCACATTTGAATGGTTTCTCTATGGTGTGGACTTTCTGATGAGTTTGCAGACGTGAGCTCTGACTGAATTCCTTGCCACACTCACCACACTTATAGCGTTTCTCTCCCATGTGAACTCTCTGATGAATACGAAGCGCTGAGCTATAGCAGAAGCTTTTTCCACACTCACTACATGTATGAGACTTCTCTCCTGAGTGTATCTGTTGATGAAGATCAAAGTTGGAGACATCACTGAAGGTTTCTGCACATTCATTACACTGGTGAGGTTTCTGGCCTGTCTGAGTCATACATAGTCCTGCCCCAAGCTGGCCAGGTGAATAACCTTGTTTGGGGAACTGAGAACTCTTTACCATGGAGTCTTGACACTCAGTTAAGTCACTTGCAATTTGTTGCCCAATCTGCCAGCAGGAAAGCTCTTCATGTGGTCCTGCTTCTGAGACAGTCTCTATCTTACTTTGGATCTTGCCTCCTGTAAGGACAGAAAATGCAGAGCTGTGAACAACTGAAGGTTTTGTTCAGTGTTTTCAAGATTTCACATTTAGGAGAGAGCATGGGACCTAAATGAAGCCAGTTTGCCTTTTCCATTGTGTACCACGTTTTCTGGTTTGCATGCCCATGGAAACCAAGAGGTGGTCCAGTTGGCTCCTGTCCACTAAGCATGAGACCCATTAGTCCACTAAGCTCCTATGTGAGGTACAAGTTAGAAGTCAAAGACTTAATTGTAGAAATTGACAATATGATTCAAACTGTTAACATATGGACATGTCTACTCAATTTCAAAGTCAGTAGAGAATCCTGGATAGTAAGTTATGTAGATAATAAACAATACAGCTACAAAAATCATGTACATAATAAAACATGAGTCAACTAGAATTTTAAGAAATAACATGATCGAAACTTTTTATTTTGGGTTCGTGTTACATATTCTAATAACAAATACCTTGAACTATTTATATCCATATATTTAAAGTGGTCCTGCACAATGGAAATTCCACACAACATGTACACCTAATCTTATTTTTCTGTGTGGACAGACATTAAATGAGTTGGCAACTATTACAAACTTTTGATCACAATATAATTGAAGTTTAGAAATGTGTTTTCTAAAAGATTTACCCTTAGGGATATTCCAAAATTTCTACATTTATATAAAGATAACTAAACATTTGGAGATTACTTTTTCAATAAAGTTTTCAACTAAAGTTTAAAAAATTCTTCTCTTAAAACTCATCAAGAAAACAAATAACCCAATTTAAAAATGGGCCAAAGACCTTAACAGACACCTCATCAAAGATATATAGATGGCAAATAAGCATATAAAAAGATGTTCCACATCATATATCATCAGGGAAATGCAAATTAAAACAACAATGAAATACCACAACACATCTATTAGAATGGCCAAAATCCAGAACACTGACAACAGCAAATGTTGGTGAGGATGTGGAGCAAGAGGAACTCTCATTTACTACTGGTGGGAATGCAAAATGGTAGTGCCATTTTGGAAGACAGTTTGGTGGTTCTTACGAAACTGAACATACTCTTACCATGTGATCCATCAGTCACACTGTTTGGTGTTTCCTCAAATGAACTGAAAACTTCTGTTCACACAAAAATCTGCACACAGAAGTCTATAACAGCTTTATTCATACTTGCCAAAACTTGGAAGCATCCAAGAAGTCCTTCAGTGGGTGAACAGATAAGTAAACTGTGCACATCCAGAAAACAGAGTATTACTTGGTGCTAAAAAACAATGAGCTACCAGGCCATGAAAAGACATGGAGGAACCTTAAATGCATGTTACTAAGTGAAAAAAGCCAATCTGAAAAGGCTACATACTATATGATTTCAACCATATGACATTTTGGAAAAGGCAAAACTACAGAGATGGCTAAAAGATCAGTGGTTGCCATGGGTTAGGGGAGAGGGAGGAATAAATAGGTGGAACACAGAGGATTTTTAGGGCAGTGAAAATACTCTGTATGATACTGTAATGGGGGACACATGGCATTGCCCATTTGTTCAAACCTGTAGAATGTATACCACCAAGAGTGAACCCTAATGTGAACCACAGACTCCAGGTGACACCCACGTGTTAACACAGGTTCATCAATTGAATCAAATGGCACCAGTCTGGGGGGATGTTGATAATGTGAGAGGCTGTGGGTGCAAGGTGGGGCAGGGGGTCTATGGGCTATCTCTGTACCTTCCTCTCAATTTTGCTGGAATCTAAAACTGCTCTAAAAAAACAGTCTTTTTTAAAAGAAGAAAACACTTCTGAAAAAGTTTTCCAAAGGAGAAATTCACTCCCCTCCCTGTAGGAACAGTCAATGAAAAGCTGCCTCCTCTTTTGATGCAGTAGACATTATGATAACCCAAGTGTAATTCCGATCTCCAGAAGAAAAGGTGAAAAAGTGGAGAGTAATCTTTTACAATGGAGACAGAGTCTAGGAGAAGGAAAAGAGGAGGTCACGGTGTAAACTCTGAAAGCCTGCCCTAGAATGGGAGTCAGATTCTCCTGGAAGTCTTCCCAGACAGACACATGGGGGGCTCCCCATGTTTTTCAAGTCCCTGCTCAATGTCAGCCCACAGCAAGGCCTCTTTACCACCCAATGTAAAATAATAAATCTTGTCTCCACTCAATCTGCCTCCGGCAACGTCCACACTCCTTGTTTAGGTTCTTAGGTTTTTCCCATGCGACACACTAAATCTTCTGGTCTTTTGTTTGTTCGTTTTAAGTATGCTTTTTGGTGAGGAAGACTGGCCCTGAGGGAGCATCTGTTGCCAATCTTGCTCTTTTTTTTCTTTTCTTTTCTCCCCAAAACCCCAGTCCACAGTTGTATATCCTAGTTGTTGGTCATTCTAGTTCTATGTGGGACGCTGCCCCAGTGTGGCTTGATGAGCCATGTGTAGGGCCGTGCCCGGGACCCGAACTGGCCAACCCTGGGCCGCCGCAGCAGGGTGCGAGAACTTGACCACTCGGCTACTGGGCTGGCCCCTCATTTGTTGTTTAACATCTGTCTTTCCCAGCACGATGCAGCATCAAAGAGGGAGGCATTTTACACTTAGTACGTCAAACACCTTTTCCGCTTTCCTGCTTTCTAACACTGTTCAGAACTGCACCTGGAGCGTGGTGAGTACCCAACCCATGCACACTGAGTGAACAGATGAATCCCAGTTTGACTTTTTTGGAGAGAGTTTAAGCCAAGTCCTAGAAGGAAAATCTCTTTTCCGAGTAAGTTATGTGAAACAGGGAAGGGAGAGGAAACTGTCGTTTCACTGGGAAGCTGAGAAGCTGGACCAGGGAAAGGGGGACAGCCCGCATAACAGTAATGAGAAAACCAGAGATGGCGAGCATCCCAGCACTGGTTCCCTGGAGCTTCTGGACCGACTCTTTGACAAGACTGTGGGAAAACTGTGGATGGAGATGAAATAGCCCATCACGACAGTTTTTCAAATTGAAAACTCCAGCCCTCTAGTAAGCTGTGATATGAATTGAAAAGCTTGTAATAAGCATTCAGGAGAACCAGGTTCTCCCAAATATGGTTATATCTACAAACCGGCCCTTAAAAATAGCTGTGTGAGGGGGAGAAGGTCTCTCTGAGGGTGAGACAATCTTGAGTGGGAAGTTTCCTAATTCTTTGCAGGTTACAATGTTCACTAGTTGAGAAACACCAAGTCTTTGTAGAAATCAAGAGAAAAATTGTATGAAATCTAGATTCTTTAACACTTGCTCAAGGGCTAAATTTGGAGAAAACAAAAGCACAACCGATTTTTGAGACAGAGATACAGACAAACTTCGGGTGCGTGTCTCATGTCAGTCTCATCTTAAATCTTCCCCCTCAAGGACGGGGAAGGGGAAGTCTGGGGGCAGTGACATCGACGGGCCCTTTGAAAGAGGTGAAGGGGCTGCAGATGGCAAACCCTCCAGGGAAAGGCGGCTTGTCAACCTGGGTACTGGCTGACGCTGTAGGAAACAGAACTTTTCCCTTGTGTGGAGATCCTATCTGAGAGTTAGATATCAGAATCCTCATTCCAAAAGTTTTCTCCCCAGAAATGAACATGCTCCCCTAGAGAAGTCTCCAGAAGAGCCACAGGGAAGGCATGTTCCTCAGTGTGGTCTCAGCCACAATGCTTACAAGCTTCCCTGGGATTCAGGTCAAGTGCGCACGTGCGCACACACACACACACACACACACACACACTCATGCCAAGGGCACCTAAGAAAGTAACTGAAATAGATGATAACCGGATAGACATTCATCAGAAGACAAAAAGGTCTGCAGCATCCTTCATTCGCTCTGGCTTGCACATGACCTGTGGGTATCCCCATGACCAAGGAGACACTGAGGTCTCCCATCCATTAACACATCCACTAAGTCAACAAATAGTTACAGACACCTCCACAGGGCACATTATTCTGGGCACTGGGGACGAAGCAATAAGAGACAAAATTCCTCACTCCTGAGGATCCCACTCCAGTGCCGAGAGAGAGGCACTAAGCCAAACAAAAATATAGGAGAGGCCGGCCCCGTGGCCAAGTGGTTAAGTTCACGCGCTCCACTTCGGCAGCCCAGGGTTTTGCTGGTTCAGATCCTGGGCGCGGACATGGCACTGCTCGTCAGGCCTCGTTGAGGCGGCGTCCCACATGCCACAACTAGAAGCACCCACAACTAAAATATATAACTATGTGCCAGGGGGCTTTGGGGAGAAAAAGGAAAAATAAAATCTAAGAAAAAAAAAAGAGACACGATAAAAGGCAGAATGAGGAGAGTAAAGAGTGGATGGTATTCTACAGAGGGTGGGCAAAGAAGGCCTTTCTCGGGAAAGTGAAACTGAGCAGAGACCTGAATGAAGTAGGGGAGGGAGCAGGAGGATTTCAGGTGAAAAAGTATGTCTGGCAGAGAGAGCAAGTAAGGGCTCCGAGGCAGAAGCATCTGTAGGAGGCAGAATAATGGTCCCCCAAGGAATGAACCTGTGGAGCCTAGACTGTGTTGGGTTACATGGCAAAGGGAATTAAGGTCGCATACGGAATTAGGGCCGCTTATCAGCTGACCTTAAAACGGAAGACCAACCTCTACCATCCGGTGGGCTCAATGCAGTCACAAGGGTCCTTTGAAGGGGAAGCGGGGTGCAGGGGAAGAGGGGTGCAGATGACGAGCAGAAGAGGGAAAGGCGACCGTGGAAGGGGCAGACAGAAGGGATGCGGCTGGCTGTGAAGACGGAGGAAGTGGGCCACCAGCTAAGAAATCTGGGTAATCTCCAGAAGCTGAAAGGGCAAAGACAAAGATTGGAGCCCCCAAGAAGAAATGCAACTGGGCCGACACCTTGATGTTAGCCCAGTCAGAACCACGTCACACTCCTGACCTACAGACTGCAAGGGAATCAATGTGTTTTTTGGTTTTTTTTGAGGAAGATTAGCCCTGAGCTAACATCTGCCGCCAATCCTCCTCTTTTTGCTGAGGAAGACTGGCCCTGAGCTAACATCCATGCCCTCTTCCTCTACTTTATGTGTGGGACGCCTGCCACGGCATGGCTTGACAAGTGGTGCGTAGGTCCATGCCCAGGATCCAAACCGGCGAACCCCAGGCTGCTGGGCTGGCCCCAATGTGTGTTGTTCTAAGCCATGAAGTCTGAGGTGATTTGTTATGGCAACAACAGGCAATACAGCGTCCCTGCGGGTGTGAGAAACAGTGGGGAGGACAATGTGAGCAGACGAGACAGAGCGAGAGGGAGGACAGGAGATGTGTTCAGAGAGGCCGCGGATGCAGAGCAGACCACAGAGGATCTAGGAGCCACTGGAAGAAGTTTTAAGAAAAGTAGGAAGGGGCCAGCCCAGTGGCGCAGCAGTTAAGTTCGCACGTTCCACTTCTTGGTGGCCCCGGTTCACCAGTTCGGATCCCGGGTGTGGACATGGCACCGCTTGGCAAGCCATGCTGTGGTAGGCGCCCCACATATAAAGTAGAGGAAGATGGGCACGGGTGTTAGCTCAGGGCCAGTCTTCCTCAGCAAAAAGAGGAGGATTGGCAGCATATGTCAGCTCAGGACTAATCTTCCTCAAAACAAAAAAAAAAGAAAAATAAGAAGCCAAAAAGGGTTTTGAGCAGAGGAATGGCGATCTGACTTATCTTCCCAAGGATTGCTCTGGCTGCTACGTGGAGAACAGACCATAGGAGGGGAAGCGTGGGAGCAGGGCGACCAGTATGGGGGCGGAACATGTCATGTTTGAAGGGGTGACGCCCCGTGAAGATGCAAAGTCATACATTTAAAATAAACACACTAACAGTACAATTTACTGGAAATTTGGATTCCTCCTGCTCACTGACCCATTAATCAAAAGGAGTGTTTTTCAAACATTGGTACACACATGACCTATCTGAAGAAATACCAATATTTCAAGACCCAGACACACATGCATAAATACGTAGTACAAAAACCTATTTCTAACCAATGTCTGTTTTCATTAAATCTCCTCCCGCTGGTTCTTACATCACGCACACAACTGGCCAGAGTTTTTGCTGCCACGTGTTCCATTCTTCCTAACAAACTGATATCTTCTATCTTATTTTATTTCATTAAAAGCTGTCGGGACAAAAGTCAGGTCCACAAACGCAGGTGACCATTCAAAGCCTTGAAACCCCGCGGACAATCCAGGGAGCTGACACTGAGCACAGAGGGCGCCTGTCCTCACCCACAGACAGCAGGTTCTGGAAGTTCTCCAGCATCACGTCCCGGTACAGCTGCCTCTGGGCGTGGTCCAGCAGCCCCAGCTCCTCCTCCGAGAAGGTCACAGCCACATCCTTGAATGTCACCGGCTCCTGCAACACCAAGCACATCTTACAATCAATGGCCACTTGAAAAGGGCCAGCCCTGCGAGGGTGGAGAGGATGGGTGGGAAGTGGTTTCAGATTTTGAGAGACTTAATTTGTAGACTTCTCAGCCTTTCTCCTTCTATCCTGCCAAAACCACACACTCATGTTCCTCAGGCAATGACATCAGTCCTTGTATGTTTATTTTGGGCCCTCATTGAGTCTACTATAAGCTACTCCCAAGAACCCTAAATATGCATCCTGGGCTACACCCGTTTTACTTTTCCATGAATACTGCCAATTGCTGTCAGAAGCATTTATCAGTTTAGCTGAGGGGCCGGCCCGGTGGCATAGTGGTTAAGTTTGCGTGCTCTGCTTTAGTGGCCTGGGGTTCGCAAGATTGGATCCCAGGCATGGACCTACATACCGCTCATCAAACCATGCTGTGGTGGCTTCCCACATACAAAATAGAGGAGCGGAAGACTGACACAGACGTTAGCTCAGGGCCAATCTTCCTCACCAAAAAAATTAGCAATTTAGTCGAAATGTATCTGATAGCACCCGCCTTCTCCTCACACACATGAACCCTGATGCTATCACCATTCTTTAATGTCTGCCAAACTAAGAAGCTTTGGGTAAGCTGTGTGGGACAGCTGTGTCGTTCATCCTATGTAACCTCAAGGCACACAGCACATCTCTTAGTTGCAGCATTAGGCGCCATGCTCTGGACCCCACCTGCCTCAGTGCCATTCCCGAGGGTCTGTCCCTTACTAGCCGTGTGACCTCAGACAAGTTCGCCTATGTGCCCGAGTCTCTCCTCTGTATAACGGTCCTTACATGACAGGGTTTTTTCAAGGATTAAACAAGGGAATATCTATAGCATCTGGAACAGTGTGCGGCACAGAATAAGCACCTAATAAACATCAGCTATTATTATTTCTTCACATTATCGTTATCAATATCTATTTCATCTCATTTCACGGCTGCGTATTATTCCAGGGAACTGATGATCTATATTCATCTGATCTAAAAAACACGTAATTTGACATATTTTCCTCATTATAATCCACTGTGCAAATGACATCATTTAATGTAGATCTTATTCCCTGATTGTTTAAAAATAACCACAAGTAAAAATTAAAATGTCAAAAATAAGTAGGCTTGAAATTATGATCATATAGCGGCAGCTTTTCTTTCCAATCTTCTCCCTACTTCCCCAATCTTTCAAGAGAAGCACATACCCCGATTCTCCATACGATGGCCAAGAGCAGGTCAGAAATTTTCCCATGGCTTTGGGACTCTGATTTGGAAGAATATTTCAGTCCTCCCACTTATTTGATTAAAAATTAACACAATTACCTTTTCTGATGTTTATTAACCACCTATATTTCTCCCTTTAGCATGCCCGTCCATGTCCTTATTCACACTCCGTTGAATTTTTTTCTTTCTCCTGTGCATAAGATTCCTCTTATGGATTCTGTCTTTTTGGCAGGCTGCTGTGTGGTAAATATTTTTGCCCCAGCTTGTTATTCTTTCTGCTGACACCGTGTGAGGTGTCTTTGGCCACAGAGAAATGTAAAGGTTTTATGCAACGACTGTGCTACCTGCTGTCTTGTGCGCCCAGAACGCTGGGCATCTCAGGGCACACGAGGAGGCGCCATGACAGGAAGAGAAGAGATGCACCCTGGGAAGCGGGTCGGGGAGGAGGATCACCATCTATGGCAATCATCCCTCAAAAGGGCTCTCCAGACACCACACCACAGGGCACAGTTTCAAAATGAACTCTTTTTGTCTTTCTTCCCGTCTCTCTCTCTCACTTGAGCAGAACGCCCAACACTCCTGACCCTTGGCCTCCTGTGTGAACCCGAGCAGGTTTCTCATGGTTCATGTGTTTAAGATAAGATGAGACCAAAATTTCCTCATTCAGGGGCCAGCCCAGAGGCGTAGTGGTTAAGTTTGTGTGCTTCGCTTTGGCGGCCCACGGTTTGCAGGTTCAGATCCCTACACACTGCTCATCAAGCCATGCTGTGTTGGCGTCCCACATACCAAATGCAGGAAGACTTGCACAGATGTTAGCACAGTAATAATCTTCTTCAAGCAAAAAGAGGAAGGTTGGCAACAGGTGTTAGCTCAGGGCCAATCTTCGTCACCAAAAAAAAAACCCCCAAAACTCCTCATTCAGCTGCTCTGAGGGGTAAATGCAGCAGGGAAAGGCAAGTTACTAGCAAATCGTCTAGTACCGCTGGACGTTTTAAACTAAGGCTACCTATTACGTCGGTCAAATTAGTTAATACATAAAAGAACCAAAAAAGACCAATAAATAAAATACACACAAGCTGCGACTCTTTAGGTAGATCCTACTTCCCTCTCTGATTATTTAAAAATAATAGCAAATGAAAATAAAAATGTCAAAAATAAGTAGGTTTAAAATTATGATTATATAACGGCAGACTGTCTTTCCAATATTTGGGAAGAAAGAATCTAGCTCTTTCTGTGTGGAAACCTCCAACAGTTCTTGTGAGCAGCAGCAGCGAGTGCCCACTGCGCTGTGCTTGGATTCGGCTTTCCTACCTAGGGCACAGCCAGCTTGACACATATCAAACGTTCTCTTTCACTACTGAGCTCTCGGTCTGTTGAGGAAAACATATCAGCAGATTGTTTTCAGAATTGATTTTAGGGAAAAAGGTTTTATGTGGGAAAGCTGTCACTGTGGTGTGGCTTCAAACAGTAAAATTCCTAGACCACCTCAATGTCCGTGAGTGGGAAGTAGTTAAAAATAACAAGGCAGATCAATTCAATGGGAATGTTACATAAACATAAAAAGCGAATGTTATATATGCACACACAAAAAAAGCACAAGTTAAAATTAGATGCATATCATGAGTACAAACACAGTTATGCATGTGAGGAAAAGAGTATGAGGGAAAAATGCAGCTAATTTGTCAGCAGGGAGGTAGTAAAGTGGGAGAATTGTTCGTTTCTAGTAATTTTTCTACTCCATAAAATAAATAATAACAAAATAAAACAAAAACTACAATCAAGGGCAAAGTAAACTCATATGGAACAAAGGAAGACCCTGGAGCCAAACAGGTCCTCGACTGCCTGTTGCTCTGCTGGAGTCGTCCCAAGAAGAACGTGTGACAATCTGAGGAGTGAGATGGGATTTTCAGAGAGAAAGGCGAGCCCTACTCACCGTGAATGTGCTCATTGTTCCTCCTGCTTCTGGGGACGGGCAGAGTCCTGAGTTACGCAGACCCCAGGAGGGCAGAACTGCGCCTGGCGGAGTGCCTAGAGGGCAGAAAAAAGACAGGCAAGTGTGGCCTGGGATGCTGCTCCCCTACACGGATGCTTACAGTAAATGCGCACGTGGATGTTCACGGCAGCATTACCCATAATAACCTGGAACCGGAAACAGATGAAGTGTCAACCTATGTAGGAACGAACAGACAAAACTGTGGCACATCCATACAATGGAATATTATTCAACAATTAAAAGGAATGAAGTACTGATTATGCCACAACATGGATGAACCTTGTAAACGTGTGGAAAGCAAAAAGACCAGTCACAAAAGACTACAGAGGGTAAGATTCCATTTATATGAACTGTCCAGAATGGGCAAATCTACGGAGACAGAAGGTAGGTTAGTGGTTGCCTGGGTATCTGGGAGAGAATGGGGTTAACTGTAAATAGGCATGAGGAACCCAACCAGGGAAACGAAAATGTTCTAAAGCGAATTAAGGTAACACTTGCACCACTCAGTGAAGTTACTAAAAATCACTAATTTGTACACCTAGAACAGGTGAATTCTGTGATATGTTCAATATACCTCAAGATGGTAAAAATAAATGTTTGTTAATCTATGTGTCATTTAAATTAGCAAAACTAATTTATGGATTCTGAGTCCATGCTGATATAATATTTATATTTGAATGAATGAATAAGGGGAGAGATGAGGAAGCTTGTCTTTACGGTAGAATGTCCCCTAGTAAATCTATCTCCCCATAAAAAACTTTATTAGTTAAAAAAAAAATACTAACTTTACAACAGAGAAATCTGACAGACATCACCTTAGCCCAATGAATGAAACTGAGTTCACCAATAGAGGGACAAACTGACAGCCTTGGACTCCTATTATGTTGCCGTGACAAAGACACCTCACTACTTCTGTGGAATCTCTGCCAACAATGCTTAAGAAGGATTTAGGAGAGGCTGACTATAGAATTTTAGCACTACATACTTGCTAATATTAAACATTATGCTAATTAATAATGTTATCTATTAGATATTAGATATCTATTAAATTAATCCTAATTTTATTACTAATACATTAAGTTATTACTTATACGTATAACAGATTATATACTAATGTATTAAGTTATTATTAATATTATTACTAATTACTAAACATGGAATGTATCAGATAAACCCAAAATGAAGGATTTTCTCCAAAATAACTTGCCTCTGTACTTTTCAAAAACATCAAGAACAGGGGCTGGCCCCGTGGCCGAGTGGTTAAGTTCGCGCGCTCCGCTGCAGGCAGCCCAGTGTTTCGTTGGTTCGAATCCTGGGCGCGGACATGGCACTGCTCATCAAGCCACGCTGAGGCAGCATCCCACATGCCACAACTAGAAGGACCCACAACGAAGAATATACAACTATGTACTGGGGGGCTTTGGGGACAAAAAGGAAAAAAATAAAATCTTTCAAAAAAGAAAAAATCAAGAACAAAAATGACAAAGGCTGTGGAATCATTTTGCATTAGAGAAGAACATTAAGACAAGTATGCTAAAAATTCCATAAAATGGTTATAAACAAGTATACAACTTAAGACAACGCATAAAATTGCACTTTGAACTGCGGGGGAAACCAATTGTAAGGACTTTAAATGAAAAACAGAACAAAATAAATACAGGATTATGGATTATATAATAGTATGTTACCTAATGATGTGTTACCTAGCATTATGTAAAAGGTAACACTATTAACTACTATTAGTAATAACTTAGTAGGTATCTACTACCTAATAGATAACATTATTATCTAGTATAACATCTAACATTAGCAAGTATGTAATGCTAAAATTCTATAATCAGCCTCTCCAAAATGCCTCCTAGCAAGACATCTCCTTATTATCCAGGGTACGTGGCTTCCTTCCTGCAGAAAGCTAAAATAAGCTGCCACTGAACACAGTATATTCCTGGTCTTATTCGGCTGACGAATCCACAAAGCAGACAGCCAAAACATAAACCATTGGTGAATCTGGGTAAAGAGTATATGAGAATTCTTTATACTATTTTTGCAACTCTCCTGTACATCTAAAATTATATAAAATAAAAAGTTGTTAAAAATCAGGCAACAGTCATAGAAATGACAAGAAGAAAAATAAGGGGGCCGGGCCCATGGTCCAGTGGTTAAGTTCGTGTGCTCCGCTGCGGGAGCCCAGGGTTTCACCGGCTCGGATCCTGGGCGCCGACCTAGCACTGCTCATCAGGACACGCTGAGGTGGCGTCCCACATGCCACAACTAAAAGGACCTACAACTAAAATATACAACCATGTACTGGGGAGCTTTGGGGAGAAGAAGGAAAAAAAGAAAAGAAAAGAAAGGAGGGAGAGCAGTGTTTGGAAAGTTCCATAGTTAACACGCATCAGGGGAAAACCATTAAGAAAAGCATGATAAAAATTCTGTAAAATGTTCATAAGCAAATATACAGAAACAACCACTAAACAAAAATGCACGAGAAGCTTAACAGTTGCTATCCTTACATTTTGGATAAATGGGTAGAATTTTAAAAAGATTTTCTCTCATATTTCTGTAATTTCTGAATGCTCTGCAATGATATGCTTCTATAAGAATAAGAAATATTATTTGTAATAAGAGAAACAAAATAGTTGGCAACGTTTTAAAAAACTCACGGAAAAGTCCAAGCCCACGAGCCTTGCTTCTAAGGGTCCCCCGGCCAAGTCCTAACCGCCCGGCCCATTGCAAGCTGGCTCCCGCGCCTTAAGGAGGGAACACCGAGATGCTGAACTCCAGCTCTGCACTCAGACTGCCTAACTCCCACCGCCGATCAGCTCTTACTACGTGGGTGACAACGGGCAAATAACCTGCCCTCCTCGGGTCTTAATCTCAATTTACAGAAAAGAAAAAAATCAATACTTCTTCACAGAGCCACGGTGTGGCATGATGTATTTATTTGTTTAAAGCCCTCACCCTTGAAGGTAGCAGTTAAGGACTAATTATTACCAAGACCCACGCTCGACTTCACATCCCACACATCTCTCTCACAGCTGATGTGAACATCGCTGTAAAAGAAACACGCCGAGTCCCGCTCACACGGAGCTTTGCTGTCACTCCCTCCGCCTCCGTGCAGTCCTCTGGGAGAAGTCAGGCTGGGGAAGGAAAGGATGCTGTGAAAGGCCAGGACTGCGTCACGGTCCTCGACAAAAGTTAAGGCCTGGCCTCCCTCCGTGCAAGCTCACCCTCCTAAAAACGAGGCGAGACGGGGTCCTGGATTTTCCAGCGTCCCGCAGGGATCAGAGAAAAGGGCAAGGGTCACCGCAGCTGGATCAGCGACCCTAACCCGGGGACGGACCGCCCCTCGGGAAATGAATCCCAACAAGGAGGGAACACCATTCACCACGTGCCAGGAACTGTATTAAAAACTTCTATTTGTATCACCTCTTCCAATTCCCAAAACAACTCTGTTAGGAAGGTCCTAATACCCTCACTTTAAAAAAAAGCAACGGGAGACACAGAGAGAGTGACTCCCCAATGCGAGGGGGGAGAGCCACGCGCGGAATGCGCAGGGAAGCGGACGGGGCGAGCCGAGAGCCCCCGAAACGCTCAACCCTGGCGACACACCACCCGAGCCGCCCGGGCACGCGAGCACCGCCCCGAACTCAGAGGCTCCGCCGAAGGAACGCGTCCCGCCGCCCGCGCCCTCCACACCTCGCTCTCCGCCCAGGATCGTTCTCCCCTAACTCGACGGCCGGGCGTTGCGGGTCCAAGCGCAGACCCAGGAAACTCGGAGTGGCCCGCGAGACGCGAAAACAACGCACAACCCTGCCGCAAACAGCCACGACCTCACACTCCGGGGGCGACGCGCCGGCGAGCCCACGGAGCTTCCGGACTACACTTCCCAGAATTCACTAGAGCCGCCTTCCTGAGCGGAAGTGCAAGGGACCACGCGGAGCGTCTGGACTACGCTTCCCAGAATGCCGAAGGAGAAGGCGGCCGTGGTCTCACGCTCCAGGAAGAAGTGTGGCGGCTAAAGGAAGCTCTTTGACTACACTTCCCAAAATGCCTGAGCGGGAAGAATCCCACGGTCCCCACTTCCTGGGTGGGAACGTGGATTCCCACACTGGGGGTCTCGTTACTTTTCCCTGAGTCCTCCAGGAAGGTGATCTATAGACAGGACTCCCTGAAGTCGAGCTGCCTTCAATGATGACGGGAGTATTGTTGGAAAGGGACCAAGCAAGGAGACACAATCGTCAAGATATTAACAGGGAATGACTGCTTAGGGGACACTAGATGATTGAAAGGGGATAATGTTTACTATAATCCGACGATGTGAGGCTAAAACCGAGAGTTTAAAGAATGGACCAGGTAGAATGACTGGGAGGGACAATGAGGACCGAAAGGACCAGCCCCTGCCCCGGACCCTGTGGGACCAATGGTTTGACAGCTTGCGAGAGACAAAGGGGAAGCTTGTCCTCATGGAAAAGCGCTCGTCTCTCATTTAAACTTTTCACTGAAGTTATTATCATCCCTACTTTGGAAGTGAAAACACCAGGGTTCAGAGAAGTTGAATTTTCCACTATCTCAAAGCGAGCACAAGGGCCGAAGAGTTCGGCACCTGAGTCATTCCGACTCCCAGAGCCTAAGATTTAACGCCAGCACTGAGGAGGATTCGACAGGTGAGGGAGCATGTTTTAGTGTTAAGAGTTTTTTCTTTTATGTTTTCTGGTTAAAATATATTATAGTTAGCAATTTTTAAACATATGTTACTGGAAACTAACTAAAAATAGTATAAAGGAAAATAAGAGAAAAAAAGTGCACCTAGAATCCTTCCCCTTGAAGATAACCAGATCTTTTTCTCCCCATAAACAGACGTATACCTATCAACATACATATTTGTTTTTTAAAATGAGGGCTTATGTTCTGTGTCCATTTTTCCAAACTCAGTGTAAGCTAGACGTTTTCTAATACCAGCCACTGAAACTCTTGACTCTTTCCAAATGATGGCCGTATAATGTCTCATTGAATGGATTGAGAACTAAAAACAAAACAGCCCCTGACATCTGGGAGCTGGGTGGCACTCACAGGTGGGCCATGTTATTCTTTGGAACATAAACGAATCACAGAATGCTATCTTCAAAGGAGGTTTCTCTGGGACCATGGTAAAGTGAGACAAAACAAGGCCTTTCCTAATTTTGTTTAGACAGATAAAAACAACAGGTCACTGTGCCTCCCACACAATGCCAAACATGCCCCTCTTGGCTCAATGAGTGCCTGCTCCTTCTTTACCCCTTGGAGTTTATCCTTGATCTAGTCTGTCCTCCCAAAAGATAAAATTTACTGAGATGCTCAATCTTAGAATTGCTTCTGCTTTCTGACAGCATCCAATCTAGAGTGAACCCGGCTTCATTAGGCCCTCCCCCAAACCACCCATCCAAAGCCCAGATCCCCTAATAGATTCTGACACCCCCTTACCCTTGTGACACCTCATGGTTCCCCATGGTGGGTGTACCCTCTCCCTGCAACAAACATAAAGCCAACTTGTCCACCCACTGGTGTGTTCCTGGCTGAATTAAATAAGCATATTGGCACATCTCATGATGAGTAGTAGGTTTGCTATCGTATACGAAGCTGCAATGAACGTTGCTTTATGTTCTTCTGGGACAGACACTGTTGGCTGGTGAACCAAGTGCCAACCACAAATCCCTCCTTTTTTACTTACCTCCACTGTAGAGAATAGAAAAGCGAAATGCTCACTTTCCCATCTTCCTTGCAGCCACACGTATCCATGTCAGCCCCACTGCCCGGGGTGGAGCCAGCACTCCAGGGAGAGAGATGCTGACTGAGGTGCTGGCTACCCTCTGGCTGCATGGGGACAAATGGGATGTAGATAATCTCCCTGTTAACAGGGATGAGTTGGTGCAATGGATGAGGACAGCATGATGAGAGGCGGGTCCTAAGAAGAGCAGGGACGCTATAGCCAGTCTTTTGGCCACCCTTGCACTCCCGCGCCACCCATCAGCTCCCATGGTGTTCCAGGGGTTGCAGACAGTGACTGGGGGAAGTAGAAGGGCCGTGTGCAGGAAGCTCCACCTGGCCAGGTCACTTGCTAACCTCAAATAAGACCCATTTGCATGCAGCGCCAAACAACTGATGGCATTGCTGAAAACAAAACTGTTGAAGTGAGGTCTTCTCTGAGGGAGAAATTAAAAAGTTGAAGCACGGACACGGACAGAATCCTGGAAAATCCCATGCTACCTGGATGGGGCGTCTGTTTGATAAGGGCACATTGCAGATCCAAATGTCTCTGGCAAATGGCACAGTTAGGGATGTGGCCAAGGTTTCCGTGTCCCCTTTGGAGACCACTGGCTCTATTCTGTCGAGATAAAAGGGAAAAGGAAGGGAGTTCAGACTTTTCCAGGGCTCTTAGATACTAGGGCCCACATGACAGTTTTTCCAGGCCTTTTGTAGGGCTAAAGATTAAACTGACGACATTGGGGGATTTGGCGGTGAGGATGATGATTCATGGTGCTTATCTACTTGTGTTGATTATGTGCCTGATGTGCCTGGGGTCCTTTGGGACATTTCAGGTGCTGGTCACCCTGGTTGCCATAGCTGAGTGCATATGGGCATTGACTTTTGGCTGCTTGTGGCACAGAATGTCACCACCTCCTCAGGGGGTATGCCCCCTCACAGCAAAGAATTTGAGCCATAAGTGTAGGAGTGTGACTCCTGCCTGCCACCTCAGTTACCCAAGCCCAAGTGGGTTTTTCAGCAATAGCAGTGCTGCATACCAGCTGGGAAAAAAGGACATTGCTTTGTTAATTCCGAACTTGGTGCAAGTCGGAGTGCTTCACACCACTTTGTCACAATTTAACAGCCTGCTTCGGTCAGTCAAAAAAGACTCTGGGGCGTGGAGACGGACAGTGGACTATTGCAGGCTGAATGCTGAGGTTCCGCCCTTGGACCCCGTGGTGCCAGTTATCATCACCATCCCCGAGATAGATAGTGGCACCCCATACTTGAGGGTGGCATGCTGTTCTTGACTTGGCTAATGCCTTTTTCTCAATCCTCTTGCGGGATGAAGATCAAGACCAATTTGCACTCAAAGGGCATGGCCTACAGTATACTTGTACTGTACTTCCACAGGGATACTTCAGTTTCCCTGCCATATGCCACCAGTGGGTGGGGCTTGACCTTCAACCATCCCAAGGCCCCACAGAAATTTTGGTCATCCATTACATCGATGACATCCTGATGGTGGGGTCGACTGAAAAGCAGGTGGAAATGGTGCTGTGCCTAGTCATTGCCACAATGACTAGTGCCAGCTGGGCTATAAACCCAGTAAGGTCCAAGGCCCAGCACAGCAGGTGCCATTCCTAGGGGCCACTTGGGCAGGAGCCAAAGAAGTATCCCAGATATAGTCATGCGAAAGTGGTTGGCCCTAGCAGCACCCACTAATAAAAAGGAGGCCCAAGAGCTGATAGGCTTTGTTGGGTACTGGAGACAGTATGTACCCCATCTGGGTGTTCTCTTGGCCCCCTTACTCGAGGTGACCTGCAGGGCCACCAGTTTTGAATGCGGCCCTTTGAGCAGCAGGCCTTGGAAGCTCTGGCTCAGGCATTGCCTTTGGGATCTTTGGAGCCTGCTAGCCTGGTGGTGTCCACAACCCCTATGCATGCTGATTGGAGTTTGTGGAAACAGGAAACTGCTACTGGGGTGCACCGGCCTCTCAGATTTTGGAGCAATATGGACACTAAACACTGCACTCCAGCACAAGGGAAACATGGCCCTACAATGCATGTTGGGAAATACAACTCAATAGCAAGAAATCAAACAGTCTGATTGAAAAATGGGCAGAGGACCTGAATAGACATTTTTCCAAAAGACATACAAATGCTCAATAGGTACATGAGCAATCATCATCAGGGAAATCCAATCAAAACGCCAATGAGATATCACCTCACTCCTGTTAGAATGGCTATTATCAAAAAGACAAGAGGTAAGTGTTAGCTAGGACGTGGGGAAAAGGGAACCCTTGTGCAATGTTGGTGGGAATGTAATCATTCAGCCACTATGGAGAACAGTATAAAGTTTCCTTAAAAAATTAAAAATAGAACTACCATATGATCCAGCAACTCTACTTCTGGGCGTATATTTGAAGGAAATAAAATCATTATTTTGAAGATATATCTACAATCCCACGTTTACTGCAGCATTATTTACAACAGCCAAGGCATGGAAACAACCTAAGTGTCTATCTATGGATGATGGATAAAGAAAATATAGTATATGTATACAGTGGAATATTATTCAGCCATAAAGAAAGAAATTTTGCCATTTGTGACAACATGAATGGACAGATATGGAAAGACAAATACTGTAAGATATCACTTATATGTGGAATCCAAATAAAACCCAAACTTATAGAAAGAAGAGTAGAATGGTGGTTGCCACTGGCTGGAGGGTGGGGGAAATGGAGAACGTTGGTCAAAGTATACAAACTTCCCAGTTATGAGATGAATAAGCTCTGGGGATCTAATGCACAGCATGGTGACTATAGTTACCAATACTGTATTATATACTTGAAAGTTGTTTAAAGAGTAGATCTTAAACGTTCTCACCACTCACACGTAAGGGTAATTATGTGAGGTGGTAGATGTCTTAACTAACCTTAATGTGGTAATCATTTCACAGTATATATGTTTATCAAATCATCATGTTGTACACCTTAAACTTATCCAATGTTATGTGTCAATTATATCTCAATAAAGCTGGAAAAAATTAAAATTTCATTTTTATATACTAGCAATGAACACAGGGAAACAAAAATAAGTGAATTGCCTAGGAATATTTCTAAGAAAACATGTGGGACTTATAAGCTGAAAAC